TATTGTACAGAGAAGAATATCTGCCAGAGAAACCAGAAATTAAGTGAATAAASTGAAGGCTAAATCAAGTGAATTAAATGCTTAAAAGGTTTTGGATTTTCAGTCATTAAGAGATGTATTGTTTAGACRGATGTTTCCTTTTTAAAAATATAACTGAATTAAGTTTCTTTTCTGCATCTGTATTCCTAGAGTTTCGCCCTGGTGAGCCATGGAAAGGTTATCCAAACATCGACCCCGAAACTGACCCTTACGTCACTCCTGGCAGTGTCATAAACAATCTCTCAATTAATACTGTGCGGGAAGTTGACCACCTCAGGGACAGGAACAGTGGTATGCTCATCCTGGCTGGGGATTTGTGTGTAACCTTCCCTCAGCCACACAGACACTGCTCTTGTGGAGATGCTTGCTGCTTGCTCTTCTCCTGGTTTATCCCTTGTGTTGTGGATTTGGGATGTGTTTTTACTGCTTGCTTCTCTCCTGGTTTATCCCTTGTATTGTAGATTTGAGATGTGTTTTTACTGCTTGCTCCTCTCCTGTTTTATCCCTTGTATTGTGGGTTTGGTATGTCTTTCAATCCCTCCTGGTTTATCCCTTGTGTTTCCTCCTTGCTCTCTCCTGGTTTTTTCTTCCTGTTTTTTTTTGGTTGCTCCTCACTCCCCTCGTTGTTGTCCCTTGTATTGTGGATTTGGGATGTGTTTGCTGCTTGCTCCTCTCCTGGTTTATCCCTTGTGTTGTGGATTTGGGATTTGTTTTAAGCCCTCCTGGTTTATCCCTTTGTTTCCTCCTTGCTCTCTCCTGGTTTTTCCTGTGTGTTTGGTCCTCGCTCCCCTCATTGTTGTCCCTTGTGTTGTGGATTTGGGATGTGTTGGCTGCTCCTCTCGAGGTTTATCCCTCGTGTTGTGCGTGTCACAGCTGCCAAGCTCATCCTTGGCTCAGCYCTGCTGCTGATGCAGTGCAGGAGCTGTCCCAGGAATGTGGGCTGTGCTCTGCATCCTGATGTCAGCTGTGCACACCCAGCAGTTTGGGAGCAGCAGAAMCTTGGCAGCCGTGCAGGAACGCAGGGCCTGTGCTCTCTGGGTGCTCCTGCTGCCACCATGTGCCCATGGTTGAGGATGGGGACTGAGGGGTGCAGGTCACTCCCCAGAGTGTGCAGATGTGTTGTGGCTGGAGCACAGCCAAGCCTTTTAATCCTACAGCATTTGTGACATGCTGTGCTGTGTCTGACTCTAGTCTYTGTTGCAGGGTCATCCTCATCTTTGAACACCACGCTGCCTTCAACTAGTGCCTGGTCATCCATTCGTGCCTCCAACTACAATGTTTCCCTCAGCAGTACAGCACAAAGCACTTCAGGTGATGTCTGCTTGTATTGCTCTGGTTCCTTTCCCTTCACATGCTTCAGGAGGATCTAGATGTTAATGAAAGCAGTGCTGAGGTCTCATGAATGTGATAACTTCATTGATTTCAAAGCAGCTATTTTGACTTTACCCGAATTTAGCAGCTTTTCTTTGCAGCAAGGTGATAATTGCAGCAACAGTGATTTTGGTTGTCTTTCATGTCTTTTAGTAGCCAGAAACAGTGATTCCAAATCAACATGGTCTCCTGGATCAGTCACTAACACCTCTCTG